TGTTATTCCAGTACTAGAAGTCGAACCCAGGGCCTCTGCACTAAGCCACCTCCCCAGTCCTTGTACAATTTTTAGACAGGTTATCACTAAATTGTCCAGGCTGAGCTGAAAATGCAAGCCTCCTGCTTCAGCTTCCCAGAGTGCTGGGATTATGGCTGTGGGCCACTAGACCATTCCTTCCTCTTTCCCTCCATCTCTCTCCCCTTGAGAAAATACACAATATCTGACTCTGTCTGGCTTATTTCACTTATCATGATGGTCTCCAGTTCTACCTATTTTCTTTCATATTACATGATTTCATTCTTTTTTTTCCTTGTTTTTTTTTTTTTTTTTTTTTTTTTTTTTGAGACAGGGTCTTGCTATGCAGTTCAGGCTGGCTGGCAGTGAGCTTGTTTTTTTTTTTTTTTGGTTTTTCTCTGGTACTGGGAATCGAACTCACAACCTTGCGCTTGCCAGGCAGGCGCTGTGCCGCTGAGCTAAATCCCCAGCCCCCCGTGAGCTTGTTTTGTATCCCAGGCTGGTCTTGAACTTGCAACAATCCTCCTGCGTCAGCCTCCTGAGTGCTGGTATGACAGGTGTGCACCACCAAGCCCGGCATGATTTCATTCTTTATCAGCCAGCTCTTTTAACTCTTCTGTAAGTGACAAGACCTCATGTCAGGTAACAGTAAGTTAAAGGAATCAGCTCCAAGCCACCAAACACTGACTTCTGGTACCTTAAACTACACAATAGAGAAATGCATTGAAAGGATACGACACAGAACTGGCGAAAAGATGAAGAATCCAATCTTTGGAAAAAACAGCTGTTCCAGTGTCCAGAATATTAGGGATGAACCCGTGCTTGTGATGAAGGAGGTGGAACTGTTCGTCACCATGCCATCTGACCCAGGACTCGAGGTAAAGGAGCAACGCACATACCTGCTGAGTCTCTGTCGCCTAATGCAGGCTGTGTGCCCATCATTAACACGGTTGAGGATGGACAGCGCTCCACAGCAAAACTGAGCTCTTTATCCAGATCTGGACTGGATGCTGGAGAGGCCAAGTAACTCACTAAACTACTACTCCTACACTCACAGTGTGATTCCTCAAATCCAACATAACACGTGTGAGGAGGAGCAAAGCCAGGGTATTCTCTTCATTCACACTTACCGTGCGACCTTGGGCAAGTGACCAGTTTCCCATGTGTAAGACAGTGATAGTCACTACTTTCGCCTGTTCTTATAATAACCAAGTAAGAAAATACATGCAAAATGCTTTGTAAGCTTGAAGCTGTGGTAGCGAATACTTAGTAAATGCTTGTCACATCCCTTTCGTATAGATTGTATCGAATTTTCCAAACAACTATGAAGTGGGAGGTTATGAACATAAACTCTGGAGTCAAACTATGAAGGTTGCACCCCAACTCACTTGACCTTAGGTAAGTTGCTTAGCATTTCTGTGACTGTTCCTTCAGCTGTAAATGGTGTAACACTGATAATACACATGGTATTGGGACAATTAAGAAGTTAATACAAGGGCTGGGTGTGGTGGCACACACCTGTAATCCCAGCATTTGGAAGGCTGAGGCAGGAGGATCTCTGTGAATTTGAGGCCAACCTGGGCTACATAGTGAGTTGAAGCCCAGCCTGAACTGCATAGCAAGACCCTGTCCCACACCCCTCAAATAAAGAAGGTTTTTGTTTGTTTTTTTTTTTTTGTACTGGGAATCGAACTCAGGACCTTGTGCTTGCCAGGCCGGCACTTGTGCCACTGAGCTATATCCCCAGCCCAAAGAAGTTAATACAAAGGGGTTGGGGATTTAGCTCAGTGGCACAGCGCCTGCCTGGCAAGCGTGAGGTCGTCAGTTCGATTCCCTGTACTGGGAAAAAGCAAAAAAAAAAAAAAAAAAAAAAAAAAGTTAATACAAGTAAAATTCTTAGAACTGTGCCTGGTATATTAACAATAAATATTAGCTATTACTATGAGCAATAGTGGTAACTGTCCCACTTTTTCGAATGAGGAAAATGAGGCACCAGAAAGTGATATTACTTGTATAAATTCTCAAGGTTTAAAGTTGTACAGCCAGAACCACTTTAGCCAGAACCACTTTTATAGGGCTCGGGACTGAACCCAAGGCCTCACACATGCTAGGCAAGTGCTCTAGCACTGAGCTACATGCTAGGCCTCTGTAGGGCCAGAACCTGACTCACTCTTGGTGTTTCTAACTACTTAACTACTGCACCAGCTTCAAAAGTTGAAAAAAAAATAGGTGATCTTTGGACTTTAACTCTATCCTCAAGTCAGACAAATTAAGGATATTTACAAATGAAATTCAAAGTAAGAGGGAAATGATCTGTTGTTTCCTGCCCCGTTGTTACAATGTTAGCTAGAAGGCTAATTAAACATGGAGAGAAGGCTAGGAATATACACATCATTTTATTAAGGAAAAACAAGCACCCAGGAGGCCAAGGTCGAAGGATCATGAATTCTAGGACCGCTTGAGCTACACACTGAGAACCTAAGTCAAAAAGGAACAAATATGTAAACAACACTTCTTTTAGCTTGAACTGGAAATCATGCCTTTTCTAAGAATAATAAATTTTTTTGTGTTTTTAAGACAGGGTCTTCTCCTGGATGTAGTGGAACATGTCTAACTCCAGCACTCTAAGAGGCTGAGGCAGGAGGATCACTATGCATCATCATTGAAAGCAAGTGTCTGAAAATAAGTGACTGTACCTCAGTTCTTGGGTCAGACTCCAAAGCCTACACTTTATCTTTCAACCATGTCATCTCTCACTGGAGAGAGACAGCTTCTGCCTAAAAGTTTACGTCTAAGCAGGGAGTCCTAGCACTACTTCGAGAGCAGCTTAAGGTTCTCCCTTTTGGCAGGCCAATGTCACTTCTCAATGAAGTGCTCCCCACCCCCAAGAATAAGGCTTGTGACATGTATGAACTTCTTTCTCCGTCTTTTTAGACCCTAAACTCCTTGGGGAAAAAACTATGTCCTAATGGTCTTGCTAAGTCAGGAAGACGGCACAGATAGTAATTATTCAGTAAGTGGCAGAATGAAGTTCATGAGCGTAGTTGTGAGAACTGAGGGTAGAAGCCAAAGTGCACCGCACTAAGGAGTAAAGGGAAGAGAGGGGTGAAGGACAAATCCGGAAAGGAAAAGTGGGAGAAATTGGAGTAACTTTTAGGAAAAAAATAAGATCAGAAAGTTTTATATATTTTTTAAGAAAGGCTGAGCTGGGGAGTAGGTCAGTGGTAGAGTACTTGCCAAGCGTGCATGAGCTGAGTTCAATCTCCAGTACCACCCATGCTGGGGGAACAACAACGACAACCGACAGGGAACGTAGCTAAGTGGTAGAATATGTGCCACATGCACAAGTCTCCTGCATGGGTCAGTCCCCAGCACTACATAAAGAAGCATGAGAAAGACTTGAACATATTTGTCGATAAGGTAAGACAGCACAGTAGAGCTGGACATGGCAGTGTATGCCTGTAACTGTGGCACTTGGGAGGCTGAGGCTGGACAATTACCATGAGTTCAAGTCCAACCTGGGCAACACAGTTGAGTTCAAAGCCAGCCTGAACTACATAGCGAGACCCTACCTCAAACAACAACAACAACAATACAACACAGTCAAAAGACTGGCGGTTTTAAAACTAGGTACATTTCAATTTGAAATCTGGCATTGTCACAATGTCTGTGAGCAAATCACTATACTCTGTGCCTCAATTTAAACACACATAAAATAGAAAAATACCTATTTAGAGCTCACTGTGACAATCCCAGCATTTGTCAAACAGAAGGCATTCAGGAACTGTCATCAATGATTACAACTGCAGGCAGAACCCTGGCCCTGTGTCCTGACCTCTCCTGTCTAGCTTGTACTCTGGTCGGGATTTCCTATCCAAGCATACACGCAATGGCAAAGAAACAGGATCTTTATCTCCTCTGTGTGTACCACCCTTTACACTATTCCCGTTTCCTTGTGACAGTCTGCACGAACTCATGAATGGCTGCTGTGGAAAATTACTGCTGTTACCCCATGAGGAAGACAACATGGAGAATGAACGGATGAATCTGATGTTAAATCACCAAATGAACAAGATCTTGGGTTCCTGCCAAAACCCTCACTGAGAATTACATAGAGAAAAACTGAAAACACAAACATACAGAACACTTCTGAAGACTCTAAGCTAGCAAGGTGTTCCCACGTCCACTCCAAACAGAAAGATGGCTGTACAACAAGAGATGATTACCTGCTGTGCTTCTTTTATCAATATTTGGCTCTAATAAAAGCGTGGTACTATCCCAGTTCATTTCTCTGGCAAAGTGACAAGTTCCCAAAGAAAGAAGGCATTTTTACACTGAAACAACTTTGTGTTTTCAGTCTTCTGTTGTTGTGGGGGACAGAACCCAGGGCCTCACATGCTCCGCAAGCACTCTAGGACTGAGCTACCCACTCTTCAGCCTTTAAAAGTTAATGTTCTGGCTGGGCATGGTGGTGTACACCTGTAATCCCAGCACTCAGGAGGCAGAGGCAGGAGAACTGCTGCAAGTTCAAGGCCAGCCTGGGCTACACAGTGAACTCAAGGTCTGCCTGAACTACATAGCAAGACCCTGTCTCAGAGGAAAAAAAAAAAAAAGTTAATGTTCTGGTCCGGGGTCATGTTCACCTACTGCCTATCCGTGATCAACCGAAGGACCTAGCCCCTCCCTCTCTTCCATATACTACATACCTCCCTACTTAAAAATCGCCTGTAATCCCAGCTCCTGGGGGAGCCCTGAGGCAGGGGGATCACAAGTTCGAGGCCAGCCCGGGGGAAATTAGCAAGACCCTGTGTCAAAATAAAAAGGGCTGGGGATGCAGCTAAGTAGTAAAGTGCTCCCGGGGTCAAGCCCTCCAGTACCACCTCCTGGGGGGCGGCAAATTTACCAAGAAAAAAAGAAGTAAAAATATTCCAGGACATCTGTAAATATTCCACCAAAAAAAGAAGACCCACCACAAATCTGACCTGCAGCAAGAGACTGGAAGATTCCATACCGTCATCCAGTCACCGAAAAGAAACTTTAAAACATCTTGATCTTCCACCTCCAGGTAGGAGCGGCAAACTAAGTAGGAAACGAACTTTCAAAATTCCAATCCCAACACACGGGGTGACCCTAACGTATGGCTCAACAGCCCCCCGCCCCCAACACCCCTAAAATACCCGCGCCAGACAGCGCTCTCCGACTCTGGGCCTGGATCGCAGATCTGAACGCAAAGCCCCCACCTTAACCCTGTGGCAGAGTCTGCACCTGAAACCCAGCCGGGGCAGCTGTATTTAAAGAAAATAAATAAAAGCCCGACGTCAGGTGCAGCGTCCCGGGGACCGCTCCCCGCCGCCGAGGCTGGGTCCCGGCCGACCCCGCGGAGGGGGGCGGGGCGTGCGCG